GATTAACAGCATCTTCTATGAGAAATGAGCTGTTTATGATCAAATCTTTAAAAATATTGTCATGCAAGATCTCTTGCGATATGAAATCATAAATGCATTTAAGTGTGTGTGTGTGTGTGTGTGAAAATAAATAAATAAATATAAAATAAATAAATATTTGTCTTTCCCATATGCTTATTCTAATGTATTCTCTACAGTAGTGTAGTCCTAAAGCAGGAAGCCAAGCTGCTAAATGGAAGTTATTAAACCTTAAAGCTCTGTTGTGGTGTTCACAAATGTCTGTTTCTTGCTGTGATTGTTCAGTGCCTCTGGATGGTTTTCATCTCCAGGGTTTGCTTTTAAACCTGATTTTTATTTGTGTTTGATCACACATTCTTTTGTTTTTTTTGCACGTGTTTTGCACGTCCATATAACTTGTTGACTTCCCACTAAATGAGCTAAATCTCATTCTGCAGACTTTGGGCGTTCTGCCCTTTAAAGGCCCCCCAGCATACCTTGAGTTTTGGATTCTCAGCTGTTTAGTAAAATGGAGCTTTCACACAGTCGTGCATTGAGCTGTAGGTCTGATTTCCACTTCAGTGAAGCAATGCTTTTAACAGTGGCCTAATGCGTTTATCTATTCTGCACAGAGAGCTGCAYGAGTCTCGCATGCAAGCTCTGGGAGGTCAGACCTCACTGGAAAGATCACATGATGGCCACTCCGTGCCTGCACGGAATCCATTGTCCTCAACGGCCTGTTTATTAATAGGTGTRTGTAACCAAGAGATTTGGTCTAATAGAGGTGCAGAAAGTCAGTGACCGCTCTGTCATTTTCCATACACTGCCCAGTCATCGTGTCCTTTAACCATAGCAGTTCTTAGTGTTCCCTGAACTTTGACCTATGTTGATGTCCACTGTAACTGTTTCGCTGTAGGTCTTAAACTTTTCTGTTAAAGGCACAGTGTGTAGGATTTTGTCACGTCTTTTAGCTGAAATTGAGTATCACTAATGACAATAATAAACATGTCTAATCATTGCAGACAAAGATCTTGTTATTATTTTTACCTTTATAAAAAGCTGTTTATATCTCCATGGTCGCGGGTCGCCACTTCAGGCAGCCGCCATCTTGCACCACCATCTTGTCTACGAAGGCTCATGAAGGACAAACTGCGGTGGCGGCGTCAAAAATGGTTTTAGTTGTAATACTATAAATGTAATATTTATTGTCTGTCGTAGCTCGGATAATTTTACTTATTAAAGCTCATATCTTACCACTTGAAACATCACTAGCCCTGAAGCTGCTGGTAGACATCGCGGTTGGAATTATCAAAGGTTTTTGACACCTGAGAGACACCGTAGCAATTCATTTGGAAGCGGGGGTGGGGGGAGGACCAGGGAGGATGATTCAACCACTAGATGTCTCTGAAAACAACAAATCCTACACACTGTGCCTTTARCTGGTGCTGGTCTCAAATATTCTTGGGCTTTCCTATTAAGGGCATGTTCTGCCTCTGTGACTTGTCTGTGAGGAAGAATGTCTCTTTTTATATACTCTGGAACAGGTAGAAGCACTGTAATCAGTGTTTAGCATTTGCTTTTTGGGTTGTAAAACTTGATGTAACGGTTCCTTCTCTGCAGTCTGGGGTGTTTTTTAACATCTGAATGAATGGCCTCATTGAGAGCTCCTCAGGAGTTGTCCTGGTGTTTTTTTGGCAGACGTTAGAGATTCTGGAGCCCCTGGGTTAAATGGTAACACAAATTGTTTCCCACTGGTTAAGTCTGCTGTCTGTTACCAGTGGACCCCTGTAGAACATCTTGCGTTCTTTCTAGTGGCTCTGTTCTAACCACTAAGTTCTCAACATGCTGTTACCCATGAGAATCCTGACCAGTTCATTCCAATGTGATTCAGACATCTAC